AATTTTGGGTTTAATAGACAGCGGTGAGAAAAAAGGAAAGATTTTTTTTTTCAGAACTGCTCTAATTATGGTTGGTAATGAAGAGTATTTAGTGGCATTTTTTTTTTTTGCACAGAAAAAAAGAAAGTTTTTTGTTATCGATTGTATTTGGTTTATGAACATGTAACAGAGTTCTCAAATTACAGCTTTCGATTCTGGAAAATTATTTTTGCCCACGATAAAGCAAACAGGGCCGCCAGAAGAAGCAGCAGCAAAATTTGTTGATAGCAGTGATGAAAAATGGGAAGTTTTTTTTTTAAACCCATTTTTTTACTGCTTCCTTTTGGTGTGTTGAGTAGCATCCAAATTTGTTATTAGGAAGGGCATTAAAAAAAATGCGTTTTTCTTTTATTTTTCTCCCTTTTGTTTATTTTGATGCTATTTTCATTGCAGTTTTAAAAGATTATATTTTTTTTTACTGTTCTTCTTGAAAAAATATGCTATTATCTGTCATTAAATTCCCTTTTTGTCTCATATTACGCTGCGTTTCTTCCAACAAAACCATTAGCAATACATTTTGTCTATCGTCCGCGCTTTTTTTTTTTTTTTTGTCAGAATTTATCGCTTTATATTTAACTTTTCTCCTTCAAACAATCCCTCAGCAAAAAAAAAAAAAAAAAGGAAAGACGAATGAATGAAATATATTGTTCCAATCACTTTTTATTGTCGCCAATGTTGCGTTTCTATTTTTTAGGAGATGTCCCAAGGAGGAGGAGAGCCAAAAACGGGTTTATCTAAAGTTCATTAAAATTTAGCAACATTGTCTTTTTTTTTTGTTGTTGTTGTTGTTTGTGTGTCAGCCATGGGTTTTTGTCGTATGTGCATCGCAAGCATTTCTTTTGGTATTTTTCCTAATATGGATTGGTGCAAATGGAGAACTAAAAGTTTTTTTCCCTTAATTTCGATTAATTTTTGGAATCATTCGAGGGTGCAAGTGAAGCATACGGAAGTAGTTTACTGGACAGTCATCCATATTTTTTTCACTGAATGTTTTTTTAGCAAAATTCATCTTTCAGCAAAAATTAAAGTTTTTTTTATTTGCATACTGTTTACTCTCCATTTAAACATTCGTTCATCACAAATATCCTGTTAAAATCTATATGTTTTATAGAAAGAATGGAGAAAGAAGATAGGGTGTTGTTTTTTTTCAGGGACAGGCGCGAAAAAAGACGAATGAACTTGCTGCACACTAAGTTTAATCAAGGACATGAATTGGTGAAAAAAAAAAAGGAAGGAGAGAGAAATGATACAAGGGGAACTGTGTACAAATAAACGCCGACGAATTTAGTTTAGTTCTATATGTTCTTAATTTACTGATATTTGACACAGATATCAGCCTAAAAATATGTTAGGAGGGGATGTTAAAATCCCAATTTTGGGTGGACAATGACGTATCGAAGTTAGGAAGCATTTTTGAAGTCAGATAACTTTTGAAATATCGAAAGGAAGATTGCTGGTCTATTATTACTACTTTTTTTTT